TCTTCTTTCATCTATCATCCCTTGCATTGACAGCATTGACAAATCATGTCTAATAAAAATGTCCCCTTGTTAAAATTGAAGTTTAATTGTAAGGGCTGTTTTAATGGTAACCTATGGGATGAAAGCTTGGGTAGATACGACAGCTGATTTATGGGTGACATGATGCTGGGGAATATTTGGTTTGGTTAAGTCCACTGCTATTTTCTGGACTCTGTGAAACAATCACAGCAAAGCCCAAAATTCAGAAATTTGAAGTTTTGATTGTGTGTGGAAAACTTATCCAATTTCATGAGAAATCCTGACCTTTTCACAGCTATTAGAAAACCTCAAGGAAAACCTCGACAGTTTAAAAAAATTCCAGATTCGAACTTTGTTTCATTAATGAGCTTTGGCCGTGAAGCACAAGACATTTTGAAATGGCACATGTCTGGATGGAAAAAAACCTGACCTTTTGCTAAAATGTCACTGAAAGATACTTTGTTTGGGTTTCAAAACAAGCTAACATAAAAACATGAATGATTTTTAGATGGTTCAAGCCTAAGGAGGGTAAAAAATAATTATTGGCTCCTTGTTTTTCTTGAAGGACTTTATCCAAAATGCTGGAATGTCCCAGTTCTGGAAAAGTGGGGTGCAAGGATAAGCTATATCTATCTGTTATAATCAAAAGGAGAAAAAGAAAAACATTATTTCATGCTGAGATGAGAAGTGTGATAATAATACCATTAGCTCGCTCACTCACTGCTAGTAGAGTTTTAGCCCCTACAGACAGACAGTAGTTCCTGAGAGTCATGCTAAGCCTGCTAAGTCATGCTAAGCATGGTAAATTACAGATTCTAATCTTAAAGTAAAATATAATGCAGGGATTCTCTTTTTGTACAATACCTAGCACTGTGGGTTCATGGTGTTCCTTGACTGGGGCTCCTTGGTGCTTCTTGTCCTCATCACCATCATCATCATCACTGTTTTGACACAAAAAATATTTTTCTCCATGATGATCAGCAGATCCATCTGAGAGACAATAGATGAAGCTTTCTGTTCCTGTACCTCCACCAAAGTCAGTAGAGTTATGTCGGCTGTTGTTAAGCTGTTGTTAAGTGGCATAAGTAGGATGGGGCTACCATGGCAGCCACCTCAGGCACCGTCTTGGGAGGGAGGAGAGGGGTGCAGAAAAAAAATGGCTGTTGATGCAGCTGTACAATCATGCCGGCAGTGTGGCGGCAACTAGAAATCACTGCTGCCCCTGCGTGTGTCTGCTTCCCCGGGCATCCGATCATTACATCTCTGTGTTAAGCACTGTTGTAGCTAGGCACAGTTCTGATCGCAAAGTGCAGGCCTGATAGAGAGATTTAGTTCGCTGTGCTAGTCTGAAGTCAGGCAGATTTGCACTTTACAGACTGACTAGATCAGAGCTGCAGAAGCTTTTGGAAGCAGCATAGCACCTAGTACTGTGATGCGGTGGCCTCTGATTAGACTCCAGTGTACCAGCACAATACACATGAGAAATATGTAGTTGAAGACTCTTTTGTGTGTGTGTGTGTGTGTGTGTGTATGTGTGCGCGCACATGCAAAGCTATATGTTTTGCAGAACATGCCAAATTTCTTTGTGAGTTTCCTTGCTGGTGTTAGACTGGAGGCAAGAAAAAGTCTAGAAAGGAAAGAGTCTCAACCCCCTGCACACCATTCACATGCCTGTGTACACAGACACATGGATGCATGCAGGCTCAGACGCATGCACCTGAGAAGGCTCAGTTTAATTCAGTGTGTGGTAAAGGCTGGGATGGGGAAGGTGTGCGTGCACGTGTGTAGTATGCATGTGTACTGGGGGCACAGTTACGGAGTGGTACAACCGAATGGAGAGGGAGGGGGAAGAGGCCCACAATTGGTACCAGATGCCCTCGGAAGCTAATGACCTGACAAACTCTGTGCTCATAAAACAAATTCTTTAAAAAGGAAGCAAATGGAAATATAAGCTAGTGAAAGAATTTGCAACAGCTGCCCTGAAACCATTTCTCACTTCATAAACAGGTCTGCACAGAAAAAACAGGTTTTTTTGTGGTCCTTTCCCTTGCCATTTTTCCCTCGCTGTTCCCCCCAGCCCCGTCTGCCCCCAACCTCGAATGAGCTCTTCCACACTAGTTTCCATGGCAGCTTTGGCTAACAGACTTGGCTGGAGTCAACAGTGAGCTCTGTTCATGCTATACATACATCCGCAGCATATTTGTGTGTGCGTGTGTATGAGGGAGAGGAGGGGAAGGGAGGCTTGTCTCAATAAATATTTGTACGTGGTGGCTGAGCAGATTTCTTCCACGTACTTACTTGATGCAAGAGCCGGTGCCTGCAGCCATGCCACGTGGTGCTGGGAGCCAGTCAGCTCTGACACGCAAGGCCAGGTTGGGCCAGATCAGGATTTGCCTGGGAGACCTCCAGGAAGAAAACGAGAAGGCTCAGCTATACAGGTGGCAGTTTGGGAGGTTCAATAGGAGTGCTGGCTCTTCCTTCCAAATCACTACCTGAAAGGAGCGCTAGGAGGGTCTATATTATTTGGAGGCACATCCTTTTGGGAGGGTCATAAAACCAAGGTCCTGACCAGTTGTGATCACTAAATATATTTTTGTTAGAGTCCCTGTGGTCCCAGTTCTTGGCTAAAGTCCATCCCAGGTAATTACATTCAGCCTATTTAATTTCCCCCTCCAGCTGTAATTGGATGCAGCATTTCTGTTGTGTAGTGTCGCTGTTTTTTTGGGTACAGAGCTGCTGTGTTTTATGCAACAGCTGCATTTCTTTGGTGAGGAAAGGATCTTCCCCAGCCCTTACCCATGTTGCATGGATGAAAAGCAATGCAATTATAGTAATGTGTGCGAAGTGCTTTGAGATCCTTGGCTGAAAGGTGCTGGAAAGGGCTGCTATTACTGTTATTTCCTGGAAACACATGGCAGATGGATGGGAAATCCCACTGCTGAATCTTCCCCACTATCTCCCTAATAAGTGTATGTAGCTTGTAAAGGGAAAGTGTTACTGTTTTTAACTGTATTGCTGTGCTAGGTTGAGGCACCAGCTGAGATGAGGACTTCAGTGTGCCAGGTGCTGAACTTGAGACATGCTGGCATGTGCTCCCAGCCCTGTGGAGCTTAGAGTCAACATGGACAAGATAGAGCAAAGAAAGGGAAGTGTCAAGGTCGTAAAAGTGAGACACAGAGAAAGCGTATCTTACTTGAGATGACTTAAAGAATTTATGAATCGGACAAGATACCAGGCCAGTTCCTGAGCCCCCAAAGCACCCATCATCCTGCTAGGTTGCTGTTGTGGTAAATGAGCTAGAATTCATGTCTGGATCAATAAGGGCAACAAGAATGCTTCTTGCTGAATGTAGATAAGGCCTAAATCGTTGGCCCCCACATACTATTCACTCATGGACATCTCAGGTCACCTCCATTTTTAGTGCTGCCACTCAGTAACTTCCGTGCTGGTGTTACATGTGGGATTCAATCAGAGACGGCCTTGAAAAAGGACAGGAAGGGACACAGCCAAGTGAAGAGGGTCTGAGAGAAAAATTGGGGAAGGGCACCTGAGCTCTCCCACCCTCTTCCATTGTGTGCTAGCATCATGGCATGTGCTTCTGGTATACAGACCTCTCCCCTTTAGGTGTGAGTCCATTGCTCAAGCATTCTTTGCAGGAGCTGGACACATATGTGAATGCACACTGTGCATGTATGAGTCTTTCTGAGCATGTGGTTGAAGTGCAAGCAGAAGGTTGGCCCAGGGACTGAAAGGGATTGCCTGGGACTTTGATGACCCATTCATGTCTGGGCTTTAATCTGCTTCCCAAGGCTTTGGCTGCACAGCAAGCTCTGCAAGAGTTGCCAAAGTGTATAAAAATACTCAGATCTTACCCTCCCACACTCACCCCAACAGGTATTTCCCAAAGGTTGGCCTGAGAGCAGTGTGTGCATGGGGGGTTGTGTGTGGATCAGATTTCATAGGTGAAAGTGTATGTGAGTACTGTGTTCTGCTATTAATTCACCCGTCTAAATGGTTAGAGGTTCCCCTGGGGATGTCCTTGGCTGTAAGGAAGCGTACAAAATGGGATCTCTTCATTCCCTCCTGCATTTCCACCTCATTTCTGGGAAGAACTACCCGTTAATGCTTGGCTTGAAGCAAGCATGCTTTCATTAGAGGTAAGGAGGAGTCATGTTACAAATTTTGTAGAGTAAACCTAAGTCTCTGGGGAGTCTTATGCTTGCATGGGGGGGCTGACCTCCATGAAGCAAATCCCTTCTGGCACTGCTTGTGGCTGGGCTCGAGGCTGCGAATTCTGCTGCAAATATCTCTGGCAGGGCTGGGGTCTCCACTGTGTTCTTGTTCCAGGGTGCCTTTTAAGCTGCTCAGATAAGCACACCCACCTCCTTATCTCAGTGTCACTCAGCCACATGAAGCAGTTCCAGGGAATTCTGATCTACAAGGGCCAGTGAGCTCCAGGGTATCAGGGATGCCTGGCAGAGATGTAAAAAATAGATACCCAACTAGTGGCATTTTATGGCCCAATCCTGTGAGATGCTGAGCACCTACAACTTCCATGGACAGCTGAAGAGATTCAGCATCTAAACGATCATTCTCTAATGAAAAGCTTAGAAAAGAAAAAGTTCTGCTGTGGCTTCTCAGTGGGGATGTATTCCCCCCTAAAATCAATGGAGCTACACCAGCACAGATCCGCTGAGAATTTGGCTCAGTGCTCTTAAAGAGACACTCTCAGGGGAAAAAACATCATATAGTGGAAAGATTTTTTTTTACATATTTTGCTACTTAGGTGATTAAATATGTTCCTTATTTTGCCATTTATACCATTTAGTTATCTTAATGTTTGTACACTACTTTAATGTCACAGCTTTTGTTATGTTGTCTCTGTCTCCTCCACAGCAGTACCCAGAGTACCAGTGGGGAGCACAGCAGCTGCCTGCCACTGCAGCTTGATCATGCTGCCATCGTGAACTGCACATCCAGTGCCCCAGGACTTATGAAGTGTGCTGTTACCTGTGAAATGGGATTTGCCCTCCATTCCAGCAGTGGAAAGGGTTTGAGTCCCATGCAGGTGAGTTGATAGTTGGGTGCAAGTAGAACCCCCCATGAGATGTATCTGAGCAACTGCTGGTTAAGGAAGACTTGTATGGAGCTCACATTGGGTTGGTCATGAGTACCATGTTGCTCTGCCTGTAAGATTTGGTCCTTACCCCTGTCATATTCTCAGTGCTAGTCCACCACTCACAGCAATACTAGGGCCCCTTCCCATTCCAGTCCTGGGTCCTTCACAGGTATGCCAGCCTGGGACCTGTTCTGCACAGTGTTTGCCCATCATACTGAACTGAAAGGTGCTTTTGTGATGCAAAGAAATATCTGAAGTTCTTCTGTGGTGATTGATGGGAAAGAAAAACATTTCAGGAATCTGTTTTCTGGAATACATTAAGTAAAGAGATTCACCTGTTATGGGGCAGATCCTACAGGGTCACAACTTGATCTCATTTCTGCTGGAATGCAGAAGAGAAGTGCCTCTGAAATCCTTCACTGTTGCTTTTTGCTGATGGTGCTGTCTTCGATGGGGGCTGAAGTGAGCAAGAAGGGGAGGAAATCATCCCCTTGAAAGTACTATCTTCCTGAGGCCCTTCTTTTCTGCTGTAGGCATGACTATCTTTGGTGAGCTGTTTCAGGTCACGTTTAGTGGGTGAGTTTTTTGGTAAGGTAGGCAGGCTGTTTGGGGGGCATCTCTCCCCCTTTATGCAGCCTCCTCAGCCCATCCAAATGCCACCCAGCTGTTTGCTGTGCTCAAAATACCCCTTGTATCTGCACAGTGGAATTATCATGGGTGATCCCACAGGTATGAGGGCCCAAGATCTCAGTCACTGCCACATTATGCCACTGTAAGTGCATTCAGTCCTGTAATGCTGATTTACCTTAGCTGAAAATATGGCCCTTTGTCAATAGATGGGCCTAAATTTAAAACTGGAGTAACAATGGTGAATTATGTTTTAGAGCTTTAAGATTTTAATCTCACAGCATAACAACAGGCTCAATATTTCTTGTGATCATCTTTTCTATCTATGCTGTTTATATACCCCTCATAACCACAGTGCCAGATCACCTTACACTGACAACACTTATGTCTGTGGGTGGGAAGGATATACAAATAGCTAATACAAAGGTGAGCCCTGAAAAGGTTGCCTTCTTTATTTCAGTAGGTTGGGTCTGACTAATGGATTAAGTCTTCCCATACAGCATTTGCAAACTCAGTTTGTTAGATAAAGGGTGTTATCCAGAAAGAAATCCAAAAGAAACTGGAGGGTTTTGCTATTAGGCAGTGGGCTGCTAATTTCCCATTTATGGTATAGAAACATATCTGCGATCATAGAAACAGATTGAACAAGTGACCTAGAGCTGCAGAGGCAATGGTTAGAATAGCTTAAGGTCTCTGGCATGTTTTCAGTTTTAAAGATAAAGGTCATTGCATTGTTATTGATTAGAGAAAAAATAGGTTATGAGTGAGATAACTGGCAGGGGTATGGAGTCTTTTCTTCCCTTCTAGCTCACTAGTTCTAACAATCCAGCTCAGTAGTGTCCTACAAGTCAATATGAAAAGAAGTTAGGCCCAGTTCATAGAAGTCAAGGATGTGGATCAGAAAAATGCACAAGGATATGCATCCCTGGAGTTGGCCCCGTTGTTAACTATCTCAGCAGGGAGACCACAGTCTGAATAGCTTCTGGGGATGGAACTTCCTTTGAAATGAACCATGAAGGTCTCAGTAGAGTCATTTTGGCAAGGTGCATAGTACAGTTTGTACTGTCCCTTCTCTGTTACTAGAGAAAGGGTACAAGTTTCTGAGGCTTTCTGTCTGCCCTGGTAGTATAATGGATGAGGTCCTGCATTTGAGACACATTCAAGGTGAAAATTTGGCTTGAGTGGTTGTTGGCCTTACATTGCAACACAGGATATTTAGATTAGATTTTAGGAAGAACTTTCTAACTATGAAGGTAGTTAAGCACTGACTCATTGTCTAGAGAGAATGTGGAAGCTTCATCATTGGAAGTTTTTAAGCTCATGTTAGGCAAACATTTACCAGGGATGTTATAGGCAATGATTGTCCTGGTTTGAGCAGGGATTGGTCTAAATAACCTCCTGTGGTCCCTTCCAGCCCTATTTTTCTGTGGTTCTGTGATCTGCACCATCAGGCTCACGGTTAAAGCTAGTGCAGCTCATCATGTTCATATACTTTTCCTGGCAGATCCCATGTTGGTCTATATGAATGATTCTCAGCAAGGGTGCCACAGCCCCCTGGAGTGCTTTGAGATCCTTTCAAGTATGCTACAGGGTGCTATCTATGCACATTGGTGCCATGCAGGTTGGGATATCCTCCACTGCAGTGTCTATAAAAACAACATTGTTGAGAAACTCAGTTATCAAAGGGCCAACCCACAATTACACTGTAGGCATGTTGAACCCTAATTTATTCTACTATAGATAACTCTTACATTATCTGCATGGCTTATTGTGCCATATAGAGCTTCACATCTATTGGCATCCCAGAGATGGCAACATGAACATATACGCTTTACCTAGAAGCTGGACTCATTTGAGCATGATATTCTAATGGGAGAAGTATGACTGAAAACTCTTTGAAACCCATGCCGGCCTTTCTGGTGATGTGGTAACTTTAGTCTAAACTCATTCACAAAAATCAGAAAAAGCCATGTTTTCTCCTTAGAAAGAGGTTCTGCTGACATGTAACTCAGGACAGTGGGACAGATCTGTGACCTGTGATCCCGCTGACTGTGGAGTTCCTGACCAATCGCTTGTGTACTATGCTGAGTTTTCCTGCCCTGAAGGGACCACATACCTGAAGGAATGCTCCTTCTCCTGCATCAAGCCAGCTAAGCTTCAAGGTATGGGATTGTCTGCATAGGAATTTAATCCTGATTTTGGTGCCACATGCATCTGTCCAGTTTCTTTCTCAGTCAAGTCTTTCTCTTCTTGTCCCTATTGGTGTTATCCTGACACTGCCAGGCAAACAAAGTCTAGGTTTGTGAGGTCTCCTGGGAAGCAGTGCACCATCCAGCTCCATACGTACTAGGAGCCCAACACCCTGCAGATATTCACAACCACCCCCTGGGCATTTCCTGCCTGTTACCTCAAATTGCAGGCACATACCTCCTGTATATTTATGAAACCCTGGCCACCTTTGTTAGCCCCAGGACAGTGATCTAGAAAGTTGAGAGAGAGTATACCAGTGCAGTTGGCCAAACAGGGATCAGGGGAGGTTTCTACTGAAAGCAGTCAGGATTATGGATGGGAAATCAAAAAATGTCATTGAGGTATGTTGATCTATGGAACTGGACTGGGTGTTGTCACAGAGACCTGAGACCCTAACTACAGCCTGGTGTCCCCTACCACTCCATGTCCTCCTACCAAAGCCATCAATAGCCACAGCTGTGGTTTTATGCCAAATTAGAGAAAAAGACCTACTGTTATTGTCTACCCAGGACTCAGCTGGATGGGATTTGGGGCTAATTACTTGCACAATGCCAAACATTGGGGCTTGGTGTGAGTTTCCACTAGCCTATTCTCTAACAGTCTCATACAACAAATCATTTTAATGGGTGTCCCATTTATGGAGACATTTATAGTTGAAATGTAGGAGAATTGCTCACCTCTTTCATCAAAGGCGCACAATGCTGTAAATTAAGTTTGATTTCATGACAGTAGACATGTCTGCAGATCCCACCGAGAATTGATCAAAGCATTGTGTGTAAGCGCCATAGCCCTACTGTTTGACAGGCCAAATTCTGAACTACACAGTACCACCACATTCAGGGGAGCTACCAGTTGCAAAGAAGGGCAGGAACTCCATTTATTATTTCATCTGTGTGTCCTGGAATTCACCAACAGCCTGATCTTGCTCCTGCT